ATATATTACAATAATTGGTTAAAATATATGTAGATAACAGACATTTAGATATATTAAATACTACTGTCTAGGATGTCCCCGTCTAGAAACTCTTCATAGCTATAAAAAGCTTTGGCGACTAGTATACTCTTGATTTGTTTTTTGAAACCTTTGAAAGGCAATTCCTTGATTTTATTTGGGAGTTTGTTACAAAATTTGGCTCCCCAATAATCAACATATTTTTGTGTTTTGTTTAATCTATGATATGGTATTATTATATCTTCCTTAAACCTCGTATCTTTACCATGTCTCGTACTGCCTTTTGTGAACTGGTTTAGGTTTTCATGTACATAATATAAACATTGTTGAATATAGGTGGATTTAATAGTCTTTTATGAAATATTCTTTGCAGCTTTCAGTTTGTTTTAGACCACATAGTGCTCTTAATGCCTTTTTTTGTTAAAGGAATATGTCATTTGCCATTGTAGTTCCTCCTCAAACTAAAATTCCGTAGGTAGCCACCGAATGGAAATAAGAAAAATATACCATTTTTGCTATTTGGAAGGTGGTTATTTTCTCCATTCTTCTTATGCAGTGTATTGAGGTTGAAAGTTTCTTTATGGATTCCGATACATTAAAGTCCCACGATAAATTGGTTTCTATGTGAATACCAAATTTGGCTTTTTGATTGCTTTGGTTCGTACCAAAAGTTATTATTTGAGTTTTTTCCTCGTTGATTTTAAGTTTATTTGCATAAAACCACTGTTTTGATTGTTCAAGAGCCATGTTCATTTTCTCATCTGCTTCCTGTTTTGTCGTACCCTTAACCAGGAAAGAAGTATCATCAGCATAGCAGCAAATTTCATATGTATCCACATTTCAGGCTAGGTCATTTAAATAAATTATTAACAAGATGGGCCCAAGGATTGAGCCTTGAGGCACGCCGCATTTAACTTCCAGTTCTGGAGAATAGTGCTCATTCCAATGGACTATTTGTGTTCTTTTTTTCAAGATAAGACTTTATCAGTTCATTAGGTGGTTCACACGCATTTTGATGATAAAAATGCATCTTTAAATTATTCCTATATCTACTGTATACATGTATTAACTCTCTAAAATTGAATTATTCAAAAATGACTAATTTTTATAGTAAAAAAGCAGCCACTAATAACTGTTTCACAGCAGTTTGTATTCCGGACTTTAACAGTTAATATTTATGTAAAATTTCCCCCTGAATCCACAAATTGCATCAAAAATTATAAAAGTAAAGCAGTTTAGATATACTCAATTCCATTACATTTTAAATGTCCGGAATACAAATTGCTGTTGGACAAAATTATTAGTGGTTGCTTTTTTGCTATGACAAGTCATTTGTGACTAATTCATTTAAAGAGAGTACCTACTGTCGCCCATAATTCAACAATAAAGAACCACTGCCAAAAAATGATTTAGGTCGACCAAGGATGTCATTTCTGAAACAGATTCCTATTTTAAAAGCCTTTGAAAAAGGCTGAACGAGGTATATACGATTTAAAATTGTTTTGTAAAGGATAAATCCCTAATTGTCAGTGGCGGCCCGTCAGGGGAGGCAGGTGAGGCAGTGCCTCATCATAGAGAATTAAAAAATTAAGTATAATTTAAATATTTTACTTTCTTTAATATACTATACATTTTTAATATTTGGATAACATGAATTGTGAAATAGTCAATAAAATTGATTAATGTTATACGTGGAATACCCAGCAACATTTAAATTATTTGAATTTGAAACGACCGCAATTTAAACTAATATTTATAGCTGGATGATTGGTCAGAAGCATGCCTGAACTAATTTAGACTCACGATTGGCGTTAGCCTTGTTGTCTCGTTCTATTACAATGCGATATCATAGTTGTCTCCTTCTCTCATTTTAGCATACGCGAGGCAGGCAAGCCTACATCCAAGGAAATAAGCAGGTGTTGTGGCAACAATGTTGCGGAATTTTAGATAAATTATACTTTACACGTTTTTCAAAATTCAATAATAAATGGTATTATTTTTCTTATAATAAATCGATTTAATCGAAATTATATTTCTATTCTAAAATAAACATATTTTAACACTATCGACATCTTGTAGCCATCACAGTAACCAATAAAATAAATAGAGATTCCTTCTTTAGGTTTGTTTTGGTTATAAAATTCTGAACTGTTTAAAGAACAAATCTGTGGTTATTTACCCAATATTTTGTTTATTCTTTTTCTATGAGTTTGTCTATTTTATGATTCTTTTGTAAGTGGTTTATTCTGTGGGTCATAATAGATATTACGGTGAGAAATTGTACCGATATTGTTGACCTTCACGTGGTTCTTGCTGAACAGTGAAATATTAATTAGACAAAAATGAGGTTTATTTAAAATAAACATCATTTTTACAATAAAATATATTTCATTGACAAAGTAGAGGATTCCTTCCCCACCACAGTCTAAGTTTTTTACTTAGTTTAAGTATAGGTTGTGAACTGCGACGTCAGTTTTTTTAAGTTGAGTTTAAAAAATTTTCTTTGCCTTTAAGTGAGGGTGAAACCATGCCTCTGCCTCACCCAAATGAAATGTCACGGGCCGCCACTGCTAATTGTTACATAAAATTAAGTCGTTCAATGTTGGGATTTAACGGAAATAAATAACTTTATATAAAATATTATTGTTGATAAATTTTGCAGGTTCGTAAAAAAAAACATCCAAGTGGACATCGAAGTGAAAACAAAAATTAATAAAAAATGCAGGATATCTCGCATTTTTGTACACATCAAATTAATTTTACAAAGTTAAATTAGGTCAATAATAAAAGTTTTATCGTTGTTTGAAAAAGGCAAGATTTATGTGGATTAAAACTGGATAAAAACACATGAAAGACGACAGAACTTTAAAATAAATAGACATCCAATAGTGATTTATCGCTCTCCCACATATTAAAGTCGAAATTCCTTTGGTTTAGCGTAAAATCTTGTTTAGATTCGCCCGGTTTCGCAATTTTAAAACAATCGACAATCAATTTGCAAGGCTTCGATTAATCGAAGTAATTAAATAAAGGATACGAAAACCTAACAAGAATTGCAAGAATTTCTAATTAATAGAAGAAGAAAGTAAAACCTTTTTCTTTGTATAATCTCAAAAAAGTATCATAAAAATATAAATGAAAAAACAATCTAAAATGCATGCATTTTGTGGTTTAATATTATTAAGGGTACACACAGTAAAAAATATTTGTTAATTTGAACCAAATTTAACCAGATTTTATGTTAATCCAGGTCCACATAACTTTATGTTGAGAAATTATAAGAAACATTTTGTAGATTTAACAAAATCATGTCAATTAAAAATTATTTTCATAAGAAATGTTGCATTTTCCTAAACAAAAAAAATCTACATACCCACATACTCTTTAAAAATTAATTAGTCAAAAATGACTAATTTAATAGTTATTAGTGGCTGCGTTTTCACTTGTGCCATGGTTAACCATGGAATACCATGGTATCCCAAATTTTAACAGCAAATTCTTATGATAAATTGTCCCCTGATATTTTTTGCAATAAATAGGTAAATATACATATAAAGATGATATTTTATTTGACTTAAGTTTATTGTGAACTTTTACAGTACAACTTGATTATAAATAACATCTATCAAAATTGTAAAAAACTTTAAGGGCCCCCCTAGACGAATTCCTTCCGGCGCCCATGGGTGGGTGTACTCAATGGTAGTAATTCCAACTATCATAGTGCTATTGAACGCCCCTCAGTAAAGCCCAAAATCTTATTCATTTGGATTGGCAGATTCAAAATGAGATGCAAACAGATTAGCCACTGATAAACCATCGTCACAAGCTGTCTCCTTTAGTTTTTTTTATTAAGGAGTGCTAGTGCGATGACAGTGTAAACTGTCTGGAAAAACTTATATTTACCGAAAAACAAAATTGTTATTAAGATTGTTAGATTTACCCCGGACTTGAAAATCGTGCGGCAACAAAATAAAGCTTCTCTATTAGGGTGCTTCATTTTAAAGCAACATTTTTTTTTCCAGGTCCCACCTAAAAATTTTGTAACCGGTCAGAAAACAAAAATGTTGAGCTATTACAATCCTTTTAATCTTTATTTTAAGCCGTTGCTTTTCAATTTTTAAATATTTCCCTTTAAAAACCATTAAAAACCAATGTACAACGTACAGTAAGAATATTTTTTTAGAATTTCGGTTCTAAAATCCTTATACAGGATGAAATTATCTTCAAAAATGTCCATTTAAGCAAGTCTGTAAGTTGAAAATGTTCTTCACAAATTGTCGTTCTACTCAAAAATCTTTTAAAATAGCAGTAAATCGTATTTGGAGACTAAACTATTGATTGTAGATAAAAACGTAAATAACAATTTTGTAGAGAATTTGCCCTACAAATTTGTTAAGAAATATTTTTCTGTATCACTTATAGTTTAGCTTGTACAGGCACTCTTTCACGTAACTCTAATAGTATAGTTATTACAGTCGTCAGAAAGAATTTGACACTTAGAGTGGCTGTACAAGCTAAACTTTAAGTAATACAGAAAAATATTAAAATATAAAATATAAAATTGTAGGGCACAAAATTCCCTACAAAATTGTCATTTAATTTTTGTTTTCTGACCGGTTACAAGATTTTCAGGTGGGACTTTGAAAAAAAAATGTCGCTCTAAAATAAAGCACCCTATTCTCATGAAAATAAATGTATTGTTGGCCAATTTTAAATGGCACTGCACGCCATTGACAAATTCACTAGTTCTTTAGCTAAAGAAGATTCTTTCTATCTATATTTAAAATATATTTTTCCCGAAAAATTAAAGTGTCAAAAATATAATTATTGCAAATCTAATTTTACTCTCGTGTATAATTTATTAAGAGATCCAGAAATTTGTAAAGACTACCAAACTTAAGCACTTTTTAATTCATTGACAGCGAAGCCGGCAATCCGTCTTAGCTTATTAATAAAACATACACAGGGAATGGAGTACTCACCGTCAAGTTGTTGAGCAGGAACTTGAGCAGCGCTGGGGGGCGGGCGGGGGGCGAGGAGCAGTTGGCGCGCAGCATGTCCCCGTAGTCCAGCGGGTCCCTTCCCACGCTTATTGTCGGCGGGTTATCCGGCAATTCTGCAAAGAATGATTAATTACAGTCTCTCCGGAACACTCGCTAATAACCTGTCAAGTTTTTTGCGCATTTGATTGTATCGCAATTTGTCTTTGCGCGATATTATAGTTTCGAGTCAATAGGGCTGTCCACAAGTTACAAAGACTCCTCATAAAATATAATTAGGTATTATAAAACATTTCATTGCTTGTTTGTAAATTTTTGGTCGATAACAACACCGTAGTGATGACCCAGCCTTCATATTCGTCAGACATGCCCCCGCGTGAATTTTTTCATTCAAAAGAACAAACCGAAAGTTTGGTAAAGATAACACTGTGTAACAAAATTTGATTTTTGTTTTGTTTATTGGATTTTTTTGTTAAATTATCAATATTTGTGGGCCAAAAAACTATTCTAACTTAATTTAAAAAATGTAGTGATAAGTTTTTATTTTTTTAAGGGGTATTTATATAATATAATCAAACCCAGTTTTATCAAAAACAATCTAGAAAAATATTTTCTTAACATAGATTTTAAATCTTGGGTCAAAAATGAATTTTAATACGACTTTTTCTTTGATATGATGCATTTTCTTCCCGAAGTAGATTCCAAACATTGTCACCCATCATTGTCGCATCCCACCTTCCTTGTTATCACTTTTTCATTGCCCGAATATCTTGATGAAATCTTTCTTCATGTTATCGCTGACATCTCCCAGATTTTCCCGGAAGAAGTCATGATGCGGATCCCATTTCTTTAAAACTTCCTAATAACTTTGACAAGGTCAGTATAATTTTCTCTTTTGTGGTTACCAAGGAAACCTTTCATTTTAAATCTCACGTTAACTTTTGAGTTTAAAAAATATGTATTATAATCCAATTTTTGTTAAAAAAAATATTCATTTTTTTTACATGTTGTCCACAAAGAAAGTTTAATGGCCAAAATCTTACGTGAGGGATAGTGGGGCTCTACCACATCTCACCAAGGGGGAGGAAGGGGTCTAAATTATCAGAAAAATGCCTCACGTAATTAATGGATGTCCCCTAATGACACTTAAAGCCATAAACACGATCTGACGGCTGTCGTTGAAAATTTGACAGTTTGAAAAAACAAATGTATGTTACGTGATCGGGGGCATGGCCTACTACGATTTGTGTAATAAAATCCAGATAAACAAATAATAATAATAATAATAATAATAATAATAATAATAATAATAATAATAGGCTTTATTTCAGAGGACATATACATGTGTAGAAAACGTCAAGGTACATTTGAAAATAGACAAACATAAATACAATTAAAAATAGGTACATATATATATATACATAATAATAGTAATAATTTACAGGAACTAAATCTACATTAAAAGAAATTCACTTATACCATAATAACATTTGGACAACAAATATGACTTTAAAAGCGTTTTAAAAATGTTAATTGACTTAGCATTTTGAATGTCTAAGGGGAGTCTATTAAATATATGTATGCCTAAACTGTTCGGGGACTTTTTACCTAAATTTAGACGATTACATTGCGTTCTTAGTTCATTTTTCTTTCGGGTATTAAAATTGTGGATATCAGAATTCATTAAGAATTTACTTTTGTTTAAAAATACATATATGCCTAGCTCCAAAATTTGAACACATGGTACAGGCAATATTTTAAATTTTTTAAATAGTTCTCTACATGAGAAATCCTGTGGAACACCGGCTATGCATCTGATTATTCGCTTTTGGGAAACAAATACACGTTCAGCACCCGTAGATGAACCCCAAAAACAAATACCATAGCGGATTCCACAACCAACCTGTGCATGATATAAACATAATAGTTGCTCTATTACTAATATTTGCCTAAGATTTCTAAATAAGTAAACCAAAGAGCTTAATTTAGAGATTAAAAGGTCACAGTGATGACTCCAATTTAGTTTTTCATCAAGAACTATGCCCAAGAAGCTAAAATGGTCCTTTCTGGAGATGTTAAAACCATCAATAGACAGATCTAAATTAAGAGATTCTTTAGACCCATGTCCCTGAGTATAAAATCTTAAATAATTTGTCTTGGCTGCATTTAAATACAAAGAATTGCAAGCAAACCAAGACGATAACAAATTTAAATTATTTTTACATTCCATCTCGAGAATCTGGCTACTCCTGTTTGACAGTATAAGAGATGTGTCATCTGCGTATAGAGTGGTCAAACAGTTATTCTCAAGATGTAGCTCTAGATCATTGATGTATAGGGTAAATAACACAGGGCCAAGAATTGAACCCTGTGGCACACCCATGCATACATCAATGAGGTTAGAATTAACAGTGCTTTTATTTTGCAATAGATTATATTTAATTGATACATATTGCATTCTGTTACTTAAAAAACTATTCAACCAGCCACACGCTAGACCTCTAACACCATACCTCTCAAGTTTTTGCATTAACTTACCATGATCAACACAGTCGAATGCCTTGCTTAGGTCACAAAAGATACCAGCAGGACACTCTCCTTTTTCAAGGCAGTTAATCAGGTTTGTATAACAAGACTGTATTGCAGTAGATGTGGAGCAAATATCATGTTACATAGTGTAATATGCAATTTTGTTAGCATTTTGTTAATTTCAAATGTTACAGATTTATTTTGTTATTGTTTTACATATAATTTCGTTAAAAAAGTACACGTCAGTCAATCAAAACATTTCCCACTGATAATACGCATCAACAAGTTCAACTGACTTCAGCGTCTGCAACTTATGTTTCTGCTTACTTTATTCTAATTCGTAACTTGTTCGCAAGAACTGTCCAGAGTGATTATAATATATTACCAGAAATCTGTTATTATTGTTATTCCTTCCTTCTACCTATTTAACGAGTGTGCTAAGTGCGAAGTATCCGAAAAAAGACGCCATCAGTGATTTTTAAACTGAAATTAGGGGATACAGTGAAGTGGGCTAAAGTTACGAAATACATCAGTAAGTGTTGTAGTAGTTCACAGAAAAAACGCTTTGATTTAGTCAATAACAATGCTATAATTGATTGTTTTTTCATTTCTCCAATAAAAGTTAAAGTTAATTCAATCAAATATGTTTGGAGCAATTGAGTTAAAGTTACTTGTTATAGAGTGAATGGCTCTTTAGATTTAAACCTAATGGAAATGTGTAATTCCTTGAAAATTTTAGAAATGATTGAATTCAAAGTTTATCTGATCAAGGTAAAATTAACAATATTTAATTAAATATAAAATTGATTTATATTGAAACTTATAATGCTTCAACCAAAAATTAAAAACAAATCAAATAAGAATAGTCTTTGTTTATTTTAATATTTATGATTTTTATTCCAATGGAAACTAAGGTAAAGTAAGTTTTTACTGTCTTACAGTGAATACCAATGTTTTCACTGTCTTAAAAAATACTTGTTTTTCGCACAATTATTATTCCCATTTTTTCAATGCGGCCTATATTCAATTTAATAATTGCTAAAATTCAGACAAACGCGCTAGGGCATCCCCTGCCACACCACAAATCGCAACCTGCAATTTGATCAACTGATTAATCGGTATTTCTGGTGACGCCGATTGATGTAAGTGTATGGGTTATCTCTGGTGTAGGTAGTGTTTGGTTGTTTGTTATATTTGCTAATTTCTTGGGGGTTGTATTTTCTAATCCCGAATTTTCAAGGTAAGTTGTACATGTTTTTTAATTGTATGTCCGGCATGTATATACCATGGACAGTGTCCATTGCACACAGTTTTTCTTTATATTCGGTGTCATGCCTTAAAATGGCTATTTTGCTTAAATGGACAAAGTTTTTATTTATTTAAATAAAAACTCATATTCTTTTAGTACAATCATGATCCTGCACTTGCAGGGCGTCCTGAAAGTATATATTGCTTTAGGACTTTTAGTAATCTTTAGGATTCGCCTCTAAATACATAAGATGAAATTCCTATTTCGTTTTAGAATAACCATGTGCCATGGCAGACAGATCCTGCACATCCAGTACAGTAACTGTTGCTAGTGATGGGTCAGCAACTTTCTTAGAGCCTAATATCATCAACACTTCTAGTGGGTTCCTAATAGTTCCTACAGAAAACAGAACAATTTCATTTTATGGATCGAAAAACCTGTGTACACGAGACTACCAGAAGCAGTTTCCAGAATTCATTTTATTAGAGTTCATATTAATGTATTATACAACTAATATTTGCACAAGAATATACATATTTAAAGGAAATAGAGCTTTGATTGCATTTAATATAGCCATTTATTAAAAACCATAACTTTATTTATGCCAATGATAGTTTTTCATTAAGATTTATTGTGGATTCAATTAAATAACAATTTAATTCAATTATTTCTTATGTTTTAACTAAGTAAGTTTTTAGACAGATTTAATAGAATCACAATTTAATTCAATGACTTCTTATGTTTGAATTAATTTTAAGGAGGTTTGCACAAATAAAAGTAAGACAATCATTCATTTGACCATAGCTGTAATTCAGGTATTGCAAATACAGTACACCATTGGCTCAATGGTTAACCCATTCACAATATAAAAGCTTTTTCTCTGTGTACGTATGTGTTAATTTTTTTGTTTAGGAAATTGATTAGTTAAACAACATTTCTTAAAAAATCCTTTTCATTTAAATTCCCAATTTCCAACAAATACTTTTGTTACTGGGTCTACAAAAAAGTTTGTAAAAATAAGGTCCTTTTTGAAAATTACAAGAATTATGGTTAATTGTTATTAAATCTGCAAAATTTTTGTTACAGAATTACAGTTGGTTGTAAACTTAACATAAAGTTATGTGGACTTGGATTAACATAAAATCTGGGTAATATTTGGATAAAATTAAGAAATTTTTTTTTACTGTATATAATTTTTTGTATTTTTACTGCAAATTTAAAATGAAAGTGCTTTATTGTATTTAATTGTATTTAAATTATAACTTATTGTATATTGTATCGTTATTTTTTAAGACAGATTTAAAAGGCTTCAGTGCAAAATATATATGTTTTTATTTTAAGTAAATGTTTGCTTATTTTATTTATCTATATTTTGATAACAAAAATTTAAAAATTATGGAATTATTTAGAAAAACGGTACCGAACCTACTTAAACCATTTGTATTTTCTAAGAAGACTGATTTTTGTTGCTTTTTTATAACTTATAACTTTTTATTATTATTTTTATTAGTATGTTTCCTATTGATTCGATTAAACCGTATACACAAAAAGTTTTTTAATAGAGGAAAGATTTAACTAAAATATTGAAAAAACTGATAATCTTCTAGAGAATATGAAGAAAATTTAAAATATTGGGAAAAATCAGAATATTTACCAGAATATTGAGATAAACAAGGAATACAAGAAACATTGACAAAAACTCTTTAATGGTCTAATAATGCTATGATGTTTTTAAATTCTCGGGAGTTTTTCGTTTACACAGAAAAAACGCTAGCATAGCATGAATGGGTGAGCCATTAAACCAATGGGATCTTGTAATCCGTATTCCTAAATAACAGTTCCTATAATACCCATAGGTAGTTAGCACTTGGTTTATAATTGTTTACTGTTTTTTAAATTAACAACAAAAGTTATCGCTCCTAAATCTATTGATATTCATATTGATATTTATTTGTTAAAATGGTAGAATGTTATTGCATTAAAAACTAATTTGATTTATTTAATAACGTTAGTATTGTATGTATACTATGTATACATTTAACGCAATATTTTGGTTTAATAGTAATTAATTGAGCAAATAACAATTTAGATTGCTTCAATTTGAATGCATTCAATAACAGCGCTGTTCTTGGTACTATGTTAGATTTTTTTCTGTGTATGCTTATTTTTTCTGGTTTATTCGCGTTTGTGCTTAATTTGCGTTCTTTAATAATAAATGCTTGAGCATTTTCCATCTATAATTAACAGAACTGGCTGGTAGCTCCAATTCAGACTGACTTTAAAGTGGTATGCCCGTTAGGGCATTCAGTTTCTTAAGGTACAAGCACTTACTTACAATATAGAAATAAATATTGTCGTTGTCGACTGAGGCCATTTTAACATAATGTACGATATTATAGATATAGATATATCTTTTATCTTTAAGCGCTTTATACTAAATAAGTATTCAATTATATCCTTATTATTGCTGTAAAAATAAACTAAACAAATCACTTAATAGTTATTTATGTATTAAGGGCATAATAAGGTTTTTATGGTCCGAGGCGCTATTTCGAGCCCGAGCGCGTTAGCGCGAGGGCTAGAAAAGCGTCGTAGGACCAAAAAAACCAGTTATGCCAGCAATGCATACAAAACTTTATGCACGATTAATATATTATTATTTTTAATACATTATTGTTTTTAAGGACGTTTACGTCAAAGAATTTTTGTTATAATTGTCATATTATAATGTCAACTGACATCAGTCAGTTTTAAAGTTTAAAGATGAATGAAATTGAGAAAGCAGCTGAAAAGGCGAAAATTTGCGGCCTGCTGCCGAAAAAATCAAAATATTTATACGAAAAAACTTACTTCGAATATATCAAATGGTGTAACATTGTTGTTTTTAATTTTTGACGTTTCATTATAGCCCGCTGGGCCATAATAACGCCCGCGGGCTATAAAAAGACGTTTACGTCAAAGAATTTTTGTTATAATTGTCATATTATAATGTCATCGTGCATAAAGTTATTTACATCCTGGTCTGTAAAAACCCGTTAGGACCAATAAAAAAACGATAACTGGTGACAGCTCTGAGCAATCTAACCTCACTTTATAATTTTAATAGTTATTATAATAATAACTATTGTAAGTACGTTTTATGTATAGTTTAACTGTGCCTTAAAGATAAAATGTTGTACGCCATTCAGCTAAAAAGTGTCTTCGCTCAATTGAGCTCATCACAAAAAGACTCCCTGCCTTATGACATGACTATTTTCTGTCCTTAATGGCGGTTTTGTCTTTTAATATCTAATTAACTTCTATTTATAAAATTACTACAAATATTTTAAATAAAATAAAACCTTTTTTTTTGAAGGAAAAATGGGTATTATCAATTTTTATTCTTAAAATTAAAAAAAAAATTATTAGTTTATTTTATTGTGTAAATAAAATTAATATAGTTTGTTATTTTTTGTATTTCTTTATTTTTATGTAAGTTTACGTTAATTTATTTTTAAACTGGTAGTACAAATAGAAATAAATAGTAAAGAATTTTAATAAAAGACTGCAAATATAATTTAATAAAGTAAGTAACATAAGATCGTAAATATTTTATTTAATTATTGTATAGTATATTTGTAAATTTAAAAAATTAAATCCATTTAAATTTTGTTTAATTAATAAAATTAAAAGTTTGTTATACCAGAAAGCACAATTTTCTTTATAATAAAAATTATTTATCATAAAGTGAAAAAAGTAAGCAGAGAACTATTCTCTTAAAACATTTTATATTGCCTTCAGGTATTCCAAAATTAATAATATATTAATACAGTAGTAGTATATTATGTATAGGGATGGGATTTTAGTTATTTTACCTTTTTACTATTTGAAAACCAATAATGTCAAAATGTGTTTTAAAAGATTTTCTTTTATATAAACCTAACTTGTTTTCACCTTTTTTACCTTTTTTGGAGGTTTTTGCTTCAAACTACCTTTTTTATACTTTTTTTACATATTTTTTAACTTGTTTTCACCTTTTTTACCTTTTTTGCTTTAAACTACCTTTTTACACTTTTGTTACATATTTTTTAATTTGTCAGTTTATTTTCACCTATTTGTTACCTATTTTTACGTATTTTTACTTACTTATTTTATTTTTTTGTGTTCTTTTTAAATTTTGCACCAATATTTTATCCAGGGCGTGCAACTCAACGGTATAAAATTTTTTCTTATGGTCACAGACTGTAACAGTAACTTTCTTTGCAGTTACCTTCTTTGTAGTGAGCTTATCTTCTGTCATAGAACTTCTGTGTAGTGAGTGTCACTCAGTGAAACACAGTTTATTGCATAGAAATACATAGTTTATTGTGGGTATGTTCTGTGTTTGGGTATGCGGCTAAACAAAATTATAAAAAATGACCAAAACCAAACAAAATCCTCTAAATAAACTCAGGTTGGATAGAGGGGAAGAATAAGATATTTTCTATTGACGAAAAAAACTTATTTACTAGAGTTTGCTGTAAAATTGTAAGGACTTTGAGGTTATGTTAAAACATCTTTCTTTAATTTATATAGATTTTAGCTATCTGTTTGTTACTCCAGTAGTAAATTTGGTAAATATCAGGTATTCCCTGTTATATTTTCAGTTATTTTGTAGTTTGCTGTAAAATTGTAAGGACTTTGAGGTTATGTTAAAACATCTTTCTTTAATTTATATAGATTTTAGATATCTGTTTGTTACTCTAGTAATAAATTTGGTAAATATCAGGTATTCCCTGTTATATTTTCAGTTCCTTATAGCTTTAATTAACTTTTGGTCAGTTTATAAAAAAATATTTTGTTACTTATTTTATAAAAATAAACGAAACTTGAACTTTTAATATTTTTTTTTCCTAAAATGCTGTTTTTTTAACCTAAAATGCTTTTTTAGTACCTTTTTAGTTACCTATTTTTCAGTTTTTAGTACCTAAATATCCCATCTTTAATTATGTATCAAGTTTGATAAACGCCATTTTAGACAGATTTAATTAATGTGTCTAGAAAAGTTTCCAAACGAGTTGCATACTATACTTTTTCTACGACAAACACTTATTATTATCTAAAGTGATTTTAATTAAATATTTGTATAGAGGGACATCTATGAAACAATGGAGTAACCAACTTGGCAAATTTCAAATTAATTTTTGTGTGTAAATCTAAAGGTATCCCTTAAAAATGGACCGTTTAATCGGATATACATAGAAATGGTTTTTTACAGTAAATGTAAAGAAAATGTCTTATTGGCACTCCACGGTGTAGTCTTCACCAGAAATTAAGTTAATGTACTATATTGGCGTTGAGAAACTATTTAATACTTTTGTAATTTGTATCGAGATAATAAAATAATTTTTACATTTAGTATTATTTTACAAAGAGGGCACTTTATTTTAACGATTTCATGACATTTGAGAACTGTCAACTAACTTAAAACTAACTTCATACCGTGACTAAAAACCTGTTGCTAACTAAAACGCCATAAAGCCACAACTTGTCAATGTGTGTTAAAAAGGTCATTGTCCTGGAAACATGTAGGTACGATAATGGGCGTTTTAAATGTGGAGGTAGAAAAAAGATATTTATTGCTCTTTTTATTTCGATCTCATACATCTTAATTTATATCCTTATAGGATACAACTTTAATAACAAGCCTTATCGTTTATAAACTAATATTGTTAAGATGCCAAATTTTGATTAATGAAGATCGAATACTTCATGTGTTGATTTTCGTTCTCTTCTTATAAATTTATAGTGGTTTGGATTTTATGGGATTTATTTATATCGAATGTTTTTTTATTGCAATTTAATCTTTATTAATTTTTTATCAAGGGTAATTTTTATTTTAAATAAAAACAAACACGTTTTGTTTTTAATTCGACACATGCATAAAATACTTCCTTTATTATTAGCATTTGTGTTGTTGCCAGCTTTTTAATGAAAAACTCAAATGTATATGAATAATAATAATGCAAAACATATTGGAAAATATTAAATTACATTAATTTGTTACTTTTCGGAATATAAATAAATAAATATAAATTTAATTTTAAATCCAGTGAAAATGACATACATAAATTTTACATAAAAGGTAACAATTTTTATATACCCTTATATGAATAGCAATTTACGACTCGTAACTTACGAGAGAGGTATTTCACATATTACAACTCATACGCTTGGATTACTAAGTTTGTAAAATATTTCTTAAATATATTAAATATAATAATAATAATAATAATCGTTTATTAATCCAACAGACAAAACGTCCATACAAAGGATATACATTATTAAATACAGTGTAATATAATTTTAATACATTTTAGGGTAAGGCTCTTATTTTACTAATGTATTGGTTTAAAGACAAGTTAAAAATATCACAATTTTCATCAAGTAAGTTATAACTACGGCACATTGAAATTAAAGGGGAATTCAGTCGTTCATTATTATTTGCAGCTTCTACATGAAAAGTTTGTTGATACCTAGAGTTCAGCCTCGGAATATAAATTTTTATTTTAGAAAGAATATCAGGGTCAAAAATTGTACCATGAACTATTTTATGTAAATAAATTAGGCGTGAATTTCTTCTACGTATTTCCAAAGTTTCCATTTTAAATGATATTAAGGCATTTACATAATCAAAGTTAAAAGCGGGGTAATATCCGTAAATAAGGTAACATAAATATTTACAAAATTTTCTTTGAATTCCTTCAATATTATCAATGTGAATGTTATAATATGGTGACCAAATGATACAGGCATATTCGAGCTTACTACGAACATAAGCATTATAAAGGCACTTCAGAGCATCTAAGTTTCTAAATTCTTTGGTGTTACGTATAATAAATCCTAACATTTTATTGGCTGCTGCTATAACTGAGTTTATATGGGGAACAAACGATAGAGATTTGTCAAAAGTGACACCTAAATCTTTAATTGTTTCAGCAGTTTTTAAAGATTCATTTTTTATTTTATAATTAAACATTATATTATTAACTTTTCTAGAGAACCTCATTACATAGCATTTTTCAATGTTTAGATATAAATGATTTTTTTCACACCACTTGTACAAAACATTAAGATCATTCTGAAGATTTACACAATCCTCTTGCGATGTAATAGCTCTAAATATTTTAAAATCATCGGCATAGAGTAAATTTTTTGAGCACATTCCTTTTGTTATATCATTAACAAACATTAAAAACAATAAAGGACCTAGGTTGCTTCCTTGGGTCACCCCACTGGTTGCACAATATACTTTTGATTTGTAGTTTTTGTGTTCAACGTATTGATATCTCTCATGCAAATATGATTTAAATAAATTAATTATGTTGCAACTAAACCCAAAGCTATGAAGTTTAC